AAAGTGAAAGTTTTAATGAAAAATACCTTCTCAGCTTCGCATCGAAGCTAAAAAATGAATTTGTTACCATAACTTATAGTTCAACTTGCAAGTTTGAAATTGACATTATTAAATTGAAAAAAATGAAATTTTTAAGATTAATATGCAATCTGGAAATTTTATAATTACTAATTACAGTACATTTGNGAAATTCTATAATTACTATTTACAGTACATTTATCAGAAAAATTCGATTTTTTTGCATTTTTATCGTAATAGATAACTGAAATAAAAAGAATAGTAATCATATCCTAATAACTTTTGGTGTTTAAAAAGATTCTGCAATTGAAATATTCAGAACTTAATTAATTTTAATAATTTACTTTAATTAAATGAACCAATCAAACCAAAGTAGTTAAAAATATTTACTCAATTGAGCGTATTATCAGAAATATAATTATAATTGTAAAAATCCATCGTTAAATTCAGGTGAAACTAAAAATCATTTTTATTTTAAATTTATGATTTATATAGCAACATATTACAAAAAAATTTGGCATATTATAGACTGGTAGTAGCACACACAAATAGAGTTAAAAAATTAATAAATTATAAAGTAAAATTATTTACTTTTGTAGTTGAATACTTTTATCATATCAAATTTAATTCGACAATAAATAATNATGAATACTTTTATCATATCAAATCTAATTCGACAATAAATACTTTAAGAATATTAAAAATTAATGATTTTAATTGTTTGTATGGACAAATCTAGTTAAGCTACTTTTTATTTGAATAAGGAATATTTTTTTGATTTTTAAGAGTAATAACTTAAACTAATCATTAACTAACTAATCATTAACTTAAATGAATCATTTGACGTATCGTTGAAAAAAGTAGGTTTAGTGAGGGTTGGCAAAATAAATCGTAGCCACAAAAAGAACCACATAGTAAAATAATATTAACATGAATATCAATTTCTTCTCACGAGGGGAGACTATAGTGATAAGATCCTTTATATTTATTGAAATTATTGAATCTAAATGAGATAAATATCAAATGATTTGAAAATTCTATTCTAACTCAAAAAAAAAATGCAAAATTTTAGAAGCCACAAACGGATTTGAACCTCGTACCCTAGGCGTTAAAGATCAAGGTGTTACCCATTCNTTTGAACCTCGTACCCTAGGCGTGAAAGATCAAGATATTACCCAATCGGCAACTGTTCGTTGCTTTTTGTTGCATGATAAAATTGGCTATTTAAGCTAACTCAAATTTAAAAATTACTTTTTCGACTTTAAAAAAGTAAAAAATGTTAATAAGTATAATATCATATGTCTTATNGAAAAAATTTTAATAAGTATACTTTCATATGTCTTATGAACTTTATTCTATGTCAATGAAATTATATAATATTCATGAAAGTCAGTTTATTCCCGTATATAATAAGATATTTTAAAATAAAAGAAAATACAAAACCCAGAATTTTAATAAAAAACGGTAGCACAGTGGGGTCGCGGCATAGTAGAGACATTGCATAGTAGGGTCCAGTATAGATTTAATCTGACAGTGATTAAAATCACTATCATAAGAAACGCTTCGATGCAAATCTGTAGATAGTGTTTAATTT